TTTTTTATTACATGTAATTGATATTTTAAAATTCTTTTTTATTCATACATGTTCGTAGTACATAATGTTTACATTCCTTGTGTGGAGTTGGTACATGTACATAACACATCTTAATTCCTCTTTATCTCTTTTCCTTTCCCTCCCTTCCTGTCCTTTCATCTCTTGAACCCCTTCCCCTTTGAGAAAGATCTATCTCCCTACTTCCTATTATCTATCTTTTATTTTACTTTTTATTTATGGTTTGGGTTGCTCATGTAAAAGAGACCATGTGATATTTAAGCTTGTGCGTTTGATTTATTTCACTTAACATTATGGTCTCAAGGTACATCCATTTTCCTACAAATGACTCAACTTTATCCTTCTTTAGGCAGAGTAGTACTCCATTGTTTATAAATACCATATTTTCTTTATCCATTCATCTGCTGATGGACATATAGGCTGCTTCCAAGATTTAGCTATTATGAACTGTGCTGCTATAAACATGGGTATCCATGAATCACTGTAATATGATGTCTTTGACTCCTTCAGGAAGATTAGGTCTATATATTTTGTTTTGGAAAAAAATTCAGAATATATTGAATGAAAAATTGAAGCTATGAATTATATGAAAACATTATTATTATTTTTGTTGTTATTTGTGGTGCTGAGGTTGGAACCCGGGGCACTAAGCATGCTCTACAATAGAGCTATATCCTCAGCCCTAATTTAATGTTTTAAAATTATATGTAAATGCAGAGTCATACCTTAAGAAATCATCAAGGCAATAATTCCGTTGAAAATCCTCTCCATCACCCACCAAGTAGCTTAAACGTAATTTTGTTCTTATGTATTTTTGTGTGTATACCTACAGTACAGTAATGCCTCAGTTCATGAAAGATTCTCTTTGGGAACAATTTGATTCACAAGCAAAAGTGTTTGGCAAAATTTTGCTTTGGTTTTTCGGACTCTGAATCGGGTAATGAACATGACCTCGGTATCTTCCCCGGGATCGTGGAAGGAATTAAGTTTGTGAACTGAGGCACCACGGTATATGTAGAGCCACAATCCTCTATATGTATATAAAAATATACCATTTAAGTGCACCTATGTGGCCTGTTCTGTGTTCTCTTTTCTTTTGCTCCTCTGAGAGCCTGCATTTGGATTTGGGTGAGTGCAGTGTGCTGTGCAGCCCAGCTCGCTGTGGGGTCCTCGACATCTGGCACACAGGGAAGTGTGCATTCTGCACAGTCCCCTCTGGGGACACTGGGGTTGGGGGAGAGGTGTGGGGATGGGGGTGGGGTTGGAGGACTAGGTTGGGGCCTTTGCACTTGATGCACACTCGAAAGGGAAAAGAGCCTGACTGTTTTCTCCCTTTACATTCTCCCACGGGGAACAGAACCTTTTGCTGGCAGCTGCCTATGTTTCCGATGCCCAGTACAACAGAAACGTTCCCTTCCAAACGTCCCCACAGGCAATCAGGTAAAGTATTAAACTGTCCCATGGAGCCACTTGTCCACCAGCACCTACGTTCTTGGGGTTGAAGAAAACTCAAGACGTTGCTTCCACAGATAATTTTGAGAGAGATCCAGGGTGCGGCACATTTGGATAAAACCCAATACTTTCTTTTAAGTTCCAGGAGCCTGGTGCTATCACGTTGGGGAGCATTCATCTGACTAAGAGCAGATAAATGAGTAGCTGCCATGCTGGGATGGGGGCCGGGCACCCTGCTAAGAATGTCATTGCTTTGCCCCAAGGGAGCGTTGTCTTCCCAGAGTCACCCAAAGTGAAAATGAAGACTTTTATTTTCCCCTTCTGTCTCTTTTGATGAAATCCAAATGTTAGGTTTTTTGGTGGGAATCCACATTTTTGTCTTCACCCCTTAAGGAATGAACTAAGACCAGCATTTGGTCTAGAATAAGGGGGAAAAAGCATTTCTTCTCATCAGGGTTCAATGCCAATGTCTCCAAAAGCACCAAATGCCTCATCCCTGGATGCTGCCAGGCAGGGATGGGTGTCAGTCCCCACCCAGGAAGAGAGCCCCATGACCTCCAGGTCTCTTTGGGGTCTACCATGGTAAGATGGGATAATGTACATCTTCAAGTTGGGTTACCATGCCATGTAACGACAGGTCACTTCACCCTGCATCAGTCATTAGCGAAGTCTGAAGATTATTTTCTTTTTATTGTCCCCCAAAACCCAAGAAAAAGGTGCTCATCTTAACCTGAGGCTACTCAAAAAATGTGCTTTGAGATGTGAACATATTCTTACTTTTCTTTTTCTGCTAATGTGTTGTAGTATGAGCTCACTTAACACTGGCCCTGCTCCTTGGAATTTAAAGGAAATGTGGCTAAGCCATAGCTTCTTTATTTTACCTGCATTAGTCTCTTTTATTTATTCATTTATTTTATTTTTGTGGTCCTGAGGCTCAAAGCCAGGGCCCTGAATATACTAGGCAAATCTTCTTATCACTGAGCTACACCCCAGCCTCCTCCCCCCCCCGCTTTTTTCTGACTTTTATCATTCCATGTTTGCAGCACATAATGATTACATCCACTGCAGGGGATGGTTATGCATACATAACACTTTTCAATTCCCCTCTCTTCCCTGCTCCCTCTCATTTGTTTTTCCAGGGAAGTTTGGGTGTTGTTAACTCCTGCCCTGTGGCTGTAACCACCTTTATTCTTTTCCTCTACAGACTTTACTGTTTTTACAACCACTGGACGATGCGAGTGGCCACATACATCTTTATCTGTGTAGACCTCTCTCTGGCCCTGTTTGAGGAGCCCGCGCTGTTCCCGTTGCCTTTTGTGGTGAGCTTCAGCATGAGATGGTTAATTCATAGACCTCTTTGAGGTTGTTATCATGCCCCCTTTAACAGAACATCTATTGTCATCCCCTTTTCAACTGATGAGAGAGCTGAGCCTTAGAAGGTTTGTCTAACTTGTCCGAGGTCACTTGGCAGTTGGGTAGAGCTAGTCCAACCCAAGTCTGTCCAATTTCAAAGTTGCTTTTTAACAACCACATGGACTCTTCTTTATCCTTCCATGTCTCAGGTATCTATTGCTGTGTAACAATTGAAAAACCCAAAACTCCAGTGCTTAAGACAGGGGTTAGAAGACTGTACCATAGGCCAAATTTAGCTGCTGCCTGTTTTTGTACAGCCTGTGCCCTAAGAATAGTGCTACAAACAGTGTTTGTTCCCCATCTCCCACACAGGTTGAAACCTAAGCACAATGTGATGGTATTTAGAGGTAGGGCCTTCAGGAGGTGATTAAATCATGAGGATGAAGTTTTAAGAAATAGGATTAGAAGCCCAGGCCTTTCTGTCCCTTGTCCTGTCTGTCATGTGTGGACACAGCGAAAAGAAGACTGTCAGGAAGCCTTCAGGAAGTGCATTCTCAGCAGAAACTAAATCTGCCAGCACTTTGATCTTACACTTCAGCCTCCAGAGCTGACAGAAATAAATTTCTGTTGTTTATAAGCTACCCAGTATTGGACAATTCATATTTTGTGACACAAAGGGATAAAAATTGGAAGCCTGATTCATGGGAAGCCACCAAGCAACATCCCCCACATTTCCCTGAGATAAAGATTCTGCAGGTCATGAATTCTCTGGGTAGAAGGCCTTTAGCCCAGTGACTATCCACAGGCCCAGACTGAATGTTGCCTGTCCTTCCCTAGCACTTGCCCAGCCCAGCAAGGGTAGGAATTCTGCAGAGTGGTTGTTTCAGCCCCTTGCCTTTCCTGTATGATGCTGGTCACAGCAGCTTCTGGGTTGGCCACCTGGGTGTCCAAGTTCTCCTTTAGCCAGTGTTCCTGCTGCAGTACCCAAGTCAAATGTGTCATGGGGTAGGGGTGCCTGTGGCCTCATTCCAGCATTTCCATGTTAAGTCTCATTTTGAGCAGGCATGTTTTGCAGTTATCCAAGGCCTGCAAGCCCTTAACAGCTGAACAGGTCAGCAGCTCAAAGACTTACAAGGGGTTGCAGCCCAGGACCCATCGGGGTGGAGTTAAAGGAGATGATTGTGTCAGCTGCAGTTCCTTCCTTCCTGTCCCCAGAGAGTCTCTTCCCTCTAGCCTCAGCCCAGGCCTTCGCCTCTCCCTACCTTAAGCCCAGGCACCCTTCTCCCCATTTCTTCCTGCTTTGCTGCTATCCACTCACTGTTGGTAGAGGAAAGTGTCCTCATTGGGGAGTGCTCCTGGATTTTCATGACAATCACAGGGACATCATGGACTGCAGGCATGGGCCATGAGGCTGGCTGGCCACAGGGTGTTTGGGGTTGGGGCTCTGTACCTGTGGTGGGCACTGGGGACTTACACTGGGCTCAGTGGCCCTCACTCTCTCTGCTCACTAGCCAAGTTCAGGCAGCAGGGCTGCAGTGGCTGTGATGTTTAAGGAATGACACCCTGCCCCCCCTTCCAAACACACTGTAGGGATTGTCTTAGTCCATTTTCTGTTGCTATAACATAATACTGGGGACAAGGTAATTTATAAAGAACAGAAGTTTATTTAATTCATAGGGGCTGGGAAGTCCAATAAAATTAAAGGGCCTGGCTAATTCTTGGAGGGAACCAGGCAGCAAAGGTAGGTCGCACTGGGAGTGGGTCATGAGAGGATGACAGCGGAGCCTTGTGATGACAGGAGCCCGGCTCAGTAATGCCCTCTCCTTGCAGGCCACTGCCCTCGCAGAAGTGCTCTGCTTGGCTGCATTCTCTGCAAGACTAGTGCACTTTGCCAAAGTCACTCCTCAAATGGTTTTCTGGAAGGACACGAAGAACATCTGCATCATGGTGACCATCGTGGTGAGTGTGCATTGCCGTGCTTGGGGGCATTTGTGATCAAAGGTGGAAACCAGGGAGGAAAACAATTGATAAGTTTGTTTTTGTTAAATCAACACCTTGATAGAGCAAACCCTGGAAGTACCGTATAGCTGCAGGCAGAGCTTAAGCCCAAGAACAAATATGGCCAAAAGTGACAGTGCAGATATTTTAACACATCTTCCAGGCCAAACTAGAGAAAAAGAAAAGACAGATGTTCTAATAGAAAAATGAGCTGAAAAGGGGGGAAGCCAACTCATAAAAGAAGGAATACATGAAATGGTGGACATGAAAGATATTTAACCAAACTAATTAAACAATATAGATCAAAACAATACAATACCATGGATTTACCTTTAAGAAAATGTCAGCAAGATTGAGAGAAAACAAACCTTATACCTTATTAGAGAGAGAAATAAGCTGTCTTTCTAGAAGGCTGCTTGGAAGTTCTTTTCTTTTCCTTTCCTTTCTCCTCCTTCCTTCCTTCTGTCATCTGTGGTACTGGGGATTGAATCCAGCACTCATGCATGGGCCTACATCCTCAGCCCTTTTTTGTTTTTATTTTTTAGACAAGAGAAATATTTTTTATTTTACTAAGTTGCACAGGCTGGGCTTGAATAGTTGGTCCTCCTGCCTCAGTTTCTCAGAGGGCTGGGATTGTAGACTTGCACCACTGTGCATGTTCTGGGGGAAGTTCTTTTCAAAAGCCTTAAATGTGCATAAACTTGCACTCTGGACTTCCATTTCTGGGGATTTCTTTTTAAGAAAGAAGGACACATTTAAAGATTTAGCCACAAAGTTGGTGGTAGGTGGGGTGTTTATAATATTGAGAAATTGAAAACAACTCAGCACCCTGCCCATAGGTACAGTAGGAAAATGTGAAATAAAGTGTGGCATGTCCACACAGCCCTTTAAAATAGTGTTAAGGGCACATATGTCTCTATAATCAAGGAGAGATGCTTACCAGCAATTAAGTCAAAAAAGTGGGTTGCAGTATAGTTGGATCACATTTTGGTTAAAAAGAAGAACAGTGGCACTGGGAGTGTAGCTCAGGGACGGAGCCCTTGTTTCCCTAGCATGCATGAGACCCTGGGTTTGATCTGCCGCACCGCAAATGACAACAACAAAACAGAAAGATAAAAGAATGTTATATGCAGTGGTACCTTGGTTCATGAATTGAATTCTTTTTGCAATTCTGGTCACAAGCTGAGTTAGTCAAGAACCAAATCAAATTTCCCCATGAAGTCAACATGGAACCTAAAAATTGAATTTGATTTGGTATTCAAAGAAAAATCTAGAAGATACAGTGCATGCCAAGTGGAGGATGCGGTCTGAACTGGTCCTGCAGTGAATAGAGAGGCCCTTGGGGGTCAGATGAGGGGGTTTCATGTTAGCACACCAACATGCCTGACCATAGTTCCTTGTGGTGAACCTCAGAATCACAGCTCTACCATTTCCATGTGATGCTCTCTTTCTGGAGCAATGTCCATTTAGGCGCTTCTACGAACACTCCTAGGTGTGAAGGCTCCCATGCAGACACTGGTATTGGTGCCCCTCAGAATCCTTTGCTCTGTGGCCAGGGCTTGCTGGTTACTGCCACATCAGCATTGCAGAGAGCAAACCCGCACTCCTATTCCCCGCAGGACTCTGTCTCCCATCACCCACCTTGAGAGTCCTCCCTGTCCTGTCCCCTCCCTTCTCTCTGGTGCCTGCCTCCCAGCTGTGCTCAGGATGCCTCTTGCACTGTTGTCCTCCTCCTCCTCTTCCCACTGGTCTGCTCCTGTCCCTGCTCTGGGTTCTCATGGTGTCTCAGCTGCACATCAGTTCTCTTGTATGACACAGTCCAGGCCTCGTCACTCTCACCTACCTCGGCCATTCCAACCCCAAATCACCGATGGATGTATGCATTTTAGGTGCTCCTACTGGATTGATTCTTCAGAGACAGACTTCAGATCCTGTCCCTCCCTCTCTCAAATGTCTGTGAGCTCCTCTGGCTGGTGAGGACAACGATGCCACCAATTTCTGCGGATGTGTCTGCCCTCCTCTCCTTCATGACAAACGGCTGGGCTGTCCGCTGCTCCTGCATTTCTCTGCTTTAAGTCCTTTTTTTTTGTTTTTTGCCTACAATAGTCTCTTCATTTCTTGTCCTCTCTCTAAAGATTTGATTTGACTTCCCTTACACATTGGCAGAGCCCTCAGAAAATGCAGAGTAGCTGCACTTTCCTGACTACTAGAAATATCTCCATCTTCCATTATTAAAAACTGCACTGGAACCTGTGTTCTGGGATGGTACCTGTGACCACATGCTTGGGTTTCATCCCTACTGGAGTGTGTAAGAAAACTGTAAAAAACACAAAAACAAAGTGTGTGTGTTTGGGGCCTTATTTTGGATAAAAAGAGAAATCCAAAAACCCAGAGTCTGTAAGATAGAAAAAGATGCCCCTAATTAAGGGTCTTTAATAAATGAACGACCCTTACTCTTTGTGCCCCACAGCCTGCTGCATGGGGAGGATGCACCTTACAAACCTAAGTCTGTGCAGCACTCCCCAGCTTCAGATCACCCACTTTCCATCTGTGGCAGAGAAAAGCCAGAGTCCCTGTTGTAGACACAAGGATGAGAGTCTCTTCCCACTGTCTGTCCCTTCCTGGCTTCATGACACTGCAAGCCCCAGAGTCCCCCTCTTTTCCCACACCTCCGATCCACCAGGACAGTGTGGCCCAGCAGTGTGACTCCTCACACAGCCTGTCCCTGTGTATTCCCCAGGGCGCGCGCTGCCCCAGGACACAGAGCACATCAGTAGTGGGTCCTGTTCTTTCCCACTGTGCTCACCCCAAGCAACTTCTCCCCTTTGGAGCCAGAGCATGCACCCCCCAAGGGACAACCTGCACATGTGCATAGCAGGGTATGCTACAGAGTGGCCTCGGCGCCCCCTCCCGCAACCTTATTAGGACGACTTCTAGGGTTCCCCAAATGCTGGAAATAAGATATGTCTTTCTAGCCTGGCCCTCAAACTTCCTGTCTTTGGTCCTTGTCAATTCTGCGGCTTTCCTATGTCCCATCTCCCAGAACTCTGTTTTTCAAACTCACTGGGATGGTTCCTCCGCATCTGTCTTACTATGTCTTCCAGCCCTGCTCTCGCCCTTTCCAAGTTTTATCCTTACAAAGCTCAGTGCTTTAAGATCACATCAAGTAGTGTCTCCTCCACGAAGCTCCCCAGGTGTTGTAATCCTTGGTGACCTGCCTAATGCTGCTGCAAGGGCAGCCACACCAGCTCCCTCCACCCGATGCCCAGAGCAGTTTCTATGCTGTTTCTCTCTGCCATGGCAGGTGATCCTTTCAGGATCTCCCTGGATCTTCTGAATTTTCTGTGTGTTACCACCAAAGGGGCTAAATTCAGACTGTTTGATGATGATAGATTATTCTTTTTTACATAAAGATTTTCAATGTACGCTAGGCCAGTGGTGGCAAACCTATGGCATGTGTGCCAATGCGAGCTGTTTGTTATCATTGAAAGCTCTAAAAGGTTTGCCATCACTGCTAGGCTCTTCTTTTGCCCCACCCTCACGTGCTTCTTTTGCCTACAAACCTGACATGAATAAAGGTTTCTGTGTTCCAGGTATTCTTATCCCTGTTACCAGACTAGAAGTCCTCTCTTTTACATGTCAAATGGGAGGAAAGTTCAGTAGGATGCTGTGTGGACACGAGTAGCAGTGTGACAAATAGCGAGGGTGTAGGCATCTGCAGTCTGCCTTCCAGCCCCAGATGTGCGATCAGAGGCCATGTGATTGTCCTCTCTGTGCTTCAAGTTTGTCCATCCGGGAGCAGTGGTGTGCTGAAGTTAAAATGAAGTAACTATAAGGTGCTCATTATACTGCATGACACCTACTAAGACCTCCAGTGCTAGCTATGATTAATGTTGTATTATAAAGTGGAATTATGCTATTTAGGACACTTGATATTTTACGTGACACTCTGACTCCCCTTCTAGCTAGGTAAGTGTTCATCCATGTCATCACTTCTCTGTCCTTTGGTAGCGCGGTTCTGACGTCTGTCTCCTGTGTCACTTGCAGGTGACCTTGATTGATCTCATCATCTATGGGTCCCTGGAAGCCGTTCACATCCACAGCATTAGATGGACGAGGGCCTTGAGGCCGGTCTTCCTAATTAACTTTCCTGAAAGTCGTCAAGTAAGCATATGATTTAGGATGCACAATGGTTTGGTCTTGGTTTTTACAAAAAATTAGCTGATTTCTCATAAATGAAATAAAATTTTGTCTCCCTAGATCCGACGGGCTTTCCGAAGCATCCGGAACACTCTGCCTGACATCCTGTATGTCTTCCTCCTGTTCCTGTTCAGTGTGCTCATGTTCTCTCTGATGGCCCTGAAGCTTTTTGGGGACAGGTAAGCCTACTTCCCTGAAAGCTTCTGCTTGTGAAGCTTGGGGGACTGTGTCAGAATAAGCACTTAATTTATGTGTGTGGTTTTCACTTTGTGCTTTTGGTTCCTGTTTAGGGGGCTGAAAACAGCTGACGGAGCTCCCTACTTCACAAATATTCTGGAAATCGCGTTTGAGCTCTATGTGCTGGTTACTACAGCAAACAACCCTGACATCATGTATGTGCCCCCCACCCCCAGTCCGTGTTCATGGATATCACTGTAACAGAATTCACATGATTAAAAGCAGCTCTTGGGTGCATGGCTCAGTAGTAGAGAGCTTGCCTCACATGCAAGAGGCCTTGGGGTTCCACCCCCCATCAATGCAAAAATAAAACAGAACAGAACAAAACAAAACCAAAAAGCAGCTATCCCCTGACACTAGAAGGACTGAGAGAGAGAAAATGTGATTTTCTGTTCAGTTGCATTCATTGTAAAAATATCAAATAGCACAAAATCTTACATAAATGATACCTTACCCTCTTAAAAACTAAATTCAGGCAAATTCTTTGAAAGTTGAAAGCAACAAGAGACATCTCTTGAGATTCAGCTCTTAACTAGTAGGGCCCACTTCCTATTCTGGGATCTTCACTAAATATTTTGCTTTATTTTATTTTTTGTTGAGACAAGGTTTTGCTATATAGGCTAGCTGGCCTTGAATTCACTTACTATGTAACCTCCTGCCTCAGCAAGGTCCTGGCACTGCTGTGTTCTTGGGTCTTTCCCTCCAGACCCCAACTGCCAGCCCTACTGACACCCATCACATGGCCCCTCCTGTAGGACATCTGGTTTCCATTAAAGGTGGTCCTAACTTACACTTCTTGTCCTGCCACAGCCACTCACAATGCCCCTTTCATTCTCCCTGTCCCAGGGTGTATAGATATTTATCTGTCACCCCAGCCATGGCCATCCAGTGTCCTGCAGGGCCCTAAGTGTAAATCCAAGGCATGCTTCTGGCTCTCTCTATAATTCTAGGGAGGTGGCTCTCCTTCTAAGTCTTGATTTTCTTATTGTGAAGTGCGAGAATTGGACTGGGCAATAGCTAAGGCCCAACCCATTTTGAACACTGACACCTCTGTAAGACACAAGAATTTCAGAAGGGCAGATGTGGAGTGAGCTGTTTAGTCACGGGGATGGTGATGATTTTAAGGCCCCATGGCACCACACAGGACAGTGAGAGTGAGAGATTTGTGGTGCCTCGTGCACAATAATTGTGCTTGTGGGTGTTGCCTGTGGTCACCCTTGTGGGCACTGTGGAACCAGGGCATGAAAAATCATGACACATAATCATTTCCTTCCAGGATGCCTGCCTATAACGTCAGTTGGTGGTATTCCTTGTATTTCATAACCTACATCATCATCAACACTTACATCTTCATGTCTGTCTTTCTGGCTGTGGTCTACAACAACTACAGGAAGCACTTAAAGGTAACAGGCATGAGCTTGCGGTAGGAGGTGGTCAGTGCCTGGGTTGGGCACAGTGGCAGGGATGGCCAAGTGCCTTCACTAACTATGTGGAAGTATTCTCCATTGCTTACTCCATTGCTTACTTGGGTAGAACAGAAGACTTTTTTGGGATCCCTCTCCCCTTCGCTAAGCAGAGTGTTTCTTCACCAGTCTTCATAGTGGGTCTAGAAGACCTGAATGACAAAGGATATAGCCACCTTTGTTCTGAAAAGTCCTTGATTTTGCTTGTTGCTCTTAATGCATCCAGTGGTTCCAGGGTCTTTGTAACATTTTGTGTAGGATTGGAGGTTGGGATGTTCTCCAAGCTTCCAAGTCCTTTCCTCACTAGGCACAGGGAGGCAACTGGGGAGAACTGTAGTCTTTGCAATTAAGGAGAAGTAGGTAAGGGAGTCTGGTTCTGTCCAGGTACTTTGGATCTGACCCCGAGGCCAGGCCTCCTCTGGCCTCTTCCTCCCTCTGACAGGAGAAGCCATTCCCAAGGGTCTGGTGCACTTCTTATCTCTTTCGCTGCTGGACAGAACTGTTACTATGCCTCCCCTTTCCCAAGGAAGTGTATTTTTGAGTGACACCCCTGGAAAATTAGCCCCCTACAGCATGCATCACCTGGAAAACTCATGCTTTATGTGCCATCCGCATTCTCAAGAGTCAACAATGATTAATACCTAGCCCTTGCTCTTTAAGAATGTGTAGACTAGCTGTGTACTCTGTTAGGTGATGATGATATTGGGTGACAGACTTACAGGGAGCAGTAGGAGTGTCCAGCTGGACAGCTGGACAGCTGAGGAAGGCTGTTGGGCTATTCTGTACTGGAAGATTCCTTGTGGTCAGGCCAGATGGCAGCCCAGGCAGAACCCAGCTGTCCTTCTGCCTGGGACTACTTTTAGCCTTGTTTCACTTCCCTGACTTTCTCCTCCTCTTCCTCTCTTTCTGTCCTGACTTAATGATAGCTCTCCGCATCCCCATTCTGCCTTTCTTCTCAGCCACACATCCAATCTCCTTCGTTTCTGGAATCTCCTCCCTCCTGGGCAGAGTGGAGTTTGGAGCTGTCTGCTTCCTGTCACTCTGCTTCTTGCCATACAGATTTTCCTTCAAGGGATTCATCATTGCAACTTGGTAAGACAAGTACTGTGGACACAGACAGGGGTTAGCTAAATAGACCAGGAGCAGGGAGGGATTATGTCCCTTGCTTTTTAGCAAACCCAGCGACTTCTCCTGGGCTCCTCCATGACTTTGAAATGTTTGGGATGGAAGAAATGCCTCTTGCTTGAATCTTTCACTTAAGACACTCAACTCTTTTTTTAAAGAATGAGATTCGCAAACTGGCGTACCTGAAACGGCACAAAATGATACAGGCATTCAACATTCTGAAAGTCAAGGTGGGCACAGAGTTTGTGGTAAAGGAGGCTGCATGGAAGCAGCTGGCCAAGGTGGTGACACCAGACATCAGCAGCTCCCACCTGGAGCTCCTCCTGAGGATCTCCGACGAGGGGCAGCAGGGGTATGTGGGTAAGAAGCCTTCCCTGTGCCTCCAGCAGTACCATAACCATCCCCCGAATCCAAGGATGCTTAAGTCCCTTCTGTAAAATGGCTTAGTGTTTTTGTATAACTCACACACATCCTCTCATCATCTCTAGATTACTTATAAAACTTGATAAAATATAAATGCTTTACAGTATAAAGTCATTATACTGTATCGTTAGGGAGTAAAAAGAAGAAGAAAAGGTCTGGACATGTTCATTGCAGAAGCACCCCTTCCCCCCCAATATTTTTGGTCTGGGATTGGTTGAATCTGTAAATGTAGAACTTGTAGAAAATGAGGGCTGACTGTGTTTAAAATTTTTTTAGATTAGCAAACACAGCCCAGGTCCTCTGACTAATTGGTGGCTCACGGTTGGAGTCACTTGACTTGCGATCTGTTTGTAAAGTAAATGAGGCCAAGACTCATCTAGTTTGAGAAAGAAATTCATCAGTCACAGATTATTTTATAGCTCTGTCTATGTGGCAAGAAGACAGTCCCAGTGGACACTTGGTTTAACCTTTACAAAACAGCAGTGTCCATTTAAGTATCATCACCAGGGCAAACCTGTTTTTAAGGAAGAAAAGCCATCAGCTTGGTTGACTTTTGGGATGCTTAGTTATATTTCACAGGGTATAGTGATACTTTCTGGTGGCTCTTGTCCCAGGAGACTCCTCAGTTAAGAAACACTTTCAAGGACAGTTTTAATGACAGCAAGCCGAGCAGGATCACATGCTTCACCGTGGTCTCCTCTCTGTACAGGCAGAGGATGGCAGAACATCTGTGAAACTTCTCATGTGCCCCTTGACCAGCAGTTTCGAGGACGGGTGGTTTCTAAGGCCACACACTGGAGTTCTGTTAGTATCAGAAGCATTGAAACATAAATCTAGTGATAACCTGAGAAACATAAAACTCATCAGAGAAGAAAGACAAGTATAATACAAGCATTATAGAAGTATTATTTTTTTCCTTAGTGATATTTGTTTTTTGTAGTTTCAAATCTTTAAATAAAATCATTACACTTACATGATAATAGTCACATAAAACATAAAAATTATGCACATGTATGGGGTACAATGTGCTGTTTTTATACATGTAAACATTGCATGTTTTGTGATCTTTTAACAAAGAGAATATGAAGCAGATAATATGGCATCTGCCACAAGGGGGTGGCTGACTGTAGTCCCTGGGTCTGATACAGCTCACAGTCTTTTCCTGTGCCATGGCCATTGTGTGTTGTCTGTGCCTGCTTCCATGCATAATGCAGGGTTGAATAGTTGTGACAGAGGCTGTATGGCCTGCACAGCCTAACATAATAACTCTTGGGTTTTTTATTTAAAGAGCTCACTGGTGCCCAAGCTACAACTTTAAGCAGCAAATTGGTACAAATTCTCTCTTTACACAGAACTATTACAGTCTTGGTTTTCTTTGGTCTTTCCTGTTCTAGTGAATCTTCTCGGTTAAAAGTTGTGAATCCAGTGAGACTGATGGATTCTCTGTTGATTTGAGGTTATTTAGTGGGCAGGGATTTGGGCTGGATTCCTGGCAGTGACCTTGGTAGGTCACCTTGAGCCCTAGTTATGGCTGTATCACAGTGTCTCCATAGCCTCCATTGTGGAGCTCATGTGACCCAAGTCCCTGGATCCAATTGTGCATGTCACTAATTCTCTGAGGCTGCCCTTTTACTCAAGTGGGTTTTATGCCTGGCTATTAAGATATGTAGGTGTGTTTCCTTTCTAACTCTAAAGACCTGGAACTTCAACAGCTTCTAATATATCTAACTGTGTTTTTCACCCAACTTGATGGACTCACGTTCTTTCATTTTCCTGGGATTGTAGAGCATTAGTGGAAAATAGCAACCTGAGTGTTTAATGCAACTCAAGACGTTATTTAAGTCAGGCTGCACCCACAGATGAGGCCACATTTGACAAAGCCAAGGCCTTTTCCTTGCTTGGTATCTGTTGCTGGCAGTTTTGTGACTTCTGTCCTGTATAAACCACACCATGGTACCTGCCACCTGTGCACTCACGGTTCTTTGCTTATTTCTGAAAATGGAAGTGAAGACCTGGGAAGTTTCCATGAACGCTAAGTGAGAATTTTTCTCAATGTTCAAAACTTCTGCCCCAGTCTTTCACAGTTGTCTTGATTTGCACCTCTAACAGAAGCTTTCTTTGGAGTTGCTGAAAAATTCAATATAGTTTTCAAAGAAGTAGTGACTGTTGGTGGATTCTGATTTCATTTGTTGATGTGCTGTTACTTTAATTATATGGTGTTACCCAAAGTTCATACATAAATAGCTTTGGGAGCTGGCCCAGTGCCCTGGCTGGTTGCCCAGCTGCCCAGCATGGCTGGTCCCAGGGAATCCAGCGGGTTTGGAAACCACTGGCTCTGAGGTTGCCTGGGGCCTGGGGCTCAGAAAAGCAGCCACTCTACTTTGACCTGGGTGGTGAGTGAGCTCCTGTGGAAGCTGAGGGTTAGAGCCCCAGGGAAAGGGCAGGGAAAGAGGCTGGGCAGAGCAGAAGATAACAGCTCAAACAGAAGGGTATGGACTTCATGTTTGAAGGCTTTGTAGAGAAGAAGGGAAAGTATGAGCCAAGATCGAAAAGCTGGATGGGGGTGGGAGTCGGGGCCAGGGGAGCGCACGGAAAGCAGCAATGGACCACATGAAGAGGAACACAGAGTGGAGGGCAGAGAGTGAGTTGGTGGTATCTGTAAATTAGCAAAATCCCATTGTGCTACCTTGAAGTGGCTGAGGGTCTAAAGAAGGGCAGGTGGGAGGCCAGGTGATCACCTGGGTCTGCCTTTGCTGGCTCCGTGGCCTTGGACCTTCCCCTTTTGCTTGGGATGGTGGTAGTGGTATTTCAATTCTAAGACTGTAAAATGCAGAGCTGAGTCTTCCTGACTTGGCTTTACTCTCTAGACCTTAGTGTCTAGAGTTGTATGGGGTCATTTTCTCATTGCAGACAAAATGAACTTTCTCCGCCTGGCTGACCTCCTCAACATCCAGGTGGTTACCATCAATCTCAGGAGACACCCACTGGAAGCCTGGGTTCCTCGGGTCTACCAGTCATCCATGAGCCTCTTGGTCCAGAGGATGGTTCAGCACAGGCAAGTGAGACGGGCCAGTTCCTCTCCAGCTGTTCTACAAAGAAAAGACGCTGTCTCTGCCACCTGGACTGAACATGTTTCATCCACAGCCTGCTCACTGCTTGTGGTTTCTAAGGGAGGCATGGAAAGGGTTTTGGACACACTATGTTTGGCCTTAGCTATAAGAACAGGCTTCTAGATTGTGCTTCCTTCTGGGATATTTCCTAAGATTCTTGAGGACTGTAGACTAGGGCACTCTCTGAGCCAGGAAAGCTGACCATTCTCTGAATTTAGGAGATTCCAGCCTCACCAGAATAAATATGAAGTTGGTATCAAACATGGCATACAGATTCTGTATGCATGATGTCAGGAAATAAACTGGCCTTGGTGAAGCCCTGAACAGACTCATGTGCCTTTTACTGAAACATGGGGTAACAGGACTTTGATTTTCAGAAGTATATGGTCCGAATTCATAAGTTAGCATTGCTGGAAAGATTGTTTTGTTTGTTTGTTTTTTGGTACCAGGAATCAAACCCAGGGCCTTGCATTTGCCAGGCATGAGCTTCACTGCTGAACCACATCCCTGGCCTGCTGGAAAGATTGCTAAGGAGGCTAGTTCATTCTTTTACATTCAAGCAGACAGATGACTTCTGGAAAGAGCCATTTATCCTAGTTTGAGACTTTCTTTTTAGTATGTGGTCCTGCAGTGCCCCATCAGTTGAGGCTCACTAGCCACGATGGTCTTTTTGTTTTGCATTTAGTGTTTCAAAACAGTGAATGGGGCTGGGCATGGTGGTGCATGCCTGTAATCTCAGCACTCTGGAGGCCAAGGCAGGAGGATCTCTGTGAGTTTGAGACCAGTGTGGGCTACATAGTGAGTTCAAGGCCAGCCTGGGGTACACAGTGAGACTCTGTCTCAAACAAAACAAAACAAAAAGCAAAAATCAAAAAAAACAACAAAAAAGTCCCTGACACAGGTCAATACATACCTTTAGCTGCCTATTTTTAAAATTTATCAAAGCTCTTTATGCAGAGCTTCAATCCCAATGTTGAATACTGCTGTGCTTCATGCAGGGGACGTATCTCCCCCATGTCTGGGCCCTGGTTCTGCAGCATCACAGAGAACACCACGGTAACCCCTCCTCTGCCTTCCCATAGCCATGCGCCTGGCAGGGATCCCTGGGGCACAGAGGGTGACACTTGAGCCACCTGGGGCAGCCTGATCTAGGACTGAAGTCAAGTTGGGACCCAGCTATCATGTTTTGTTTGCCCATTTTCTCTCTCACCTTGATGAGAAAGATGGACAGGCCATTCCCTTGGGAGGCTGGTGTTCGTTAGGGGTGAAGGGGCTTTCAGAAGCTTTCTTAGTTGAGGATGTGCATTTTCTGGGGATCATCCTGTGTTAACCCCAAATCTTCTCCCTGCCCTGATTCTAAGCTTTCATCAGATCAGGTGCTGACCCCAAGGGGACCCTGGGAAGACAACTTTCCTCTCTTCTCCCCTCTCTCTGTCCTCTTCTCTTGGAGAGAAGGGCAGCACCAAGGGTTTTGGGAGACAGATGAATTTCAAAGCTCAACCATGCTGGAACTTCCATAGATGAGGCCTCTCTCTCTCTCTCTCTCTCTCTCTCTCTCTCTCTCTCTCTCTCTCTGTGTGTGTGTGTGTGTGTGTGTGTGTGTGTGTGTGTGTGTGTGTGTGTGTGTGTGTGTGCAGATCCTGTATGCATGGTGTCAGGAAATAAACTGGCCTTGGTGAAGCCCTGAACAGACTTATGTGCCTTTTACTGAAATATGGGGTAACAGGACTTCTTTTATTTCTCTTCCTGCCAGGATTTTTGTCTGGGCGTATGATGTCATCATTCTAATCAATGCCATATGCATTGCTCTGGATGAGAAACACCCCTTCATTTCCTATGCAGAATGGCTTTTCCTTGCTCTCTATATTATTGAGATCCTCCTGAAACTGTACACATATGAGCCCAGAGCCTATCTTGGAAGGAAGCAGTTCTGGAACTGGTGAGTGGTGTCCTGGGGAGGAGTGAGGTGGCCAGGTGTCATGAGAGTGGACTTGTTGTCACAGTTGAGGGCACATGGCTACAAGCCTCCAAGTCCATTTGCCTGTTTTTGAGGTATCTTATAATGAGACTTTTGGGGACAGGGAACATCTGATTCAGTGAAAGTTGTTAGTCATGATGTAAGTTGAGACTGATTGTAGTAAAATTAGAATTACAGACCATGGCATCTTTGATTTGGTAAGGAACTTTAAAAAGAGGAAAACAAGCCAGGCATGGTGGTCCACACCTATAATTCCAGCACTCTGGGAAGTTGAGGTAAGAGAATCACAAGTTGGAGCCCAACCTGAACAACTGAGTTACTTACAGGGACCTGTTTCAAGATAAAAGATAAAAGAAGAGCTTGAGATGCAGCTCTGGACAATGGCTCTGTGTTCAGTCTTGAGTCGCAGAAAAACAAAACAAAACAAAAAACCAGGAAAACAGGCAAGTGTGGTAGCACATACCAATAATCCCGGTTCTCTGGGAAGCTCAGGCAGAATGACCACGTTTGAGCCCAGCCTGGGCAGCTAAGTGAAACCCTGTCTCAAAATATTAAAAAAAGAGGCCGGGGATGGAGCTCAGTGCAAAGGCCCTGGGTCCAGTTCCCAATACCAACAAACAAATAAACACCCCAAACCCAACAAATAAAGTAAAACAAAACAACAACAGAAACCAAGAAGGAAAAAAAAAAAGGACAGCAAATTGTTTTTCTCTACTCTTTCATAACACTTCTGCCACCAAATGTGTGGAACTTTTCACACAAACCAATTGTCTAACTGGGTGTTCCACACTTCAATTCAATTCTTTTTCTTTTATTCATTAAGTTTATTGGTACATTTTAGGTATACATTATGATCACATTCATCATTGAGAATTTGTAGCTATACATGATATATCTTGGCTCTTATTTTTTCCTATTCCCCTTTCCTCCCTTCAACCCCTCCATCCATTCCTATTTACAAAAGCTTTGTTTCCATTTTTTCTTTCTTTTATCATTTTTTCTTTCCCTTCTTTCCTTTCCCCCACCTCCCTCCTTAGTTCCGCTTCCCCTTTAAACATTTTCTTCCTATTTCACAATATCTGTTATACATTTTGTCCTCATTTACACTTTAGTGTTTCTGTTTTAATATTTAGATCTTTGATCCATTTCAATTTTAGTTTAGTGGATGGTGAAAGATATGGGTCTAGTTTTAATCTTCAGCAAGTGGAAACCCAGTTTTTCCAGCACCATTTATTAAGGAGGCTATCTTTCCTCCAGTGAGGGTGTTTGGCTCCTTTGTCAAAGATGAGGTGGCTGAGTATGTCTGGAGTTGTTTCTGCATCTTCTAATCTGTCCCATTGATCCTCATGTCTGTTTTTTCCCCAGTACCATGCTGTTTTTAACACAGTAGCTTTGTAGTATAGTTTCAAGTTGAGGATTGTGATATCCCCTGCCTTGCCTTTGTTGCCTAGAATTGCCTTTGCTATTCTAGGTTTCTTCTGGTTCCAAATGTCAATCAATTAAGTTCTGACACTGTTTACCTAGAGTTAGTGTCAAAATTACTAGGATTTTAGGAGTTCTGGCTAGGAACTCCTAGCCAAAGTTGAAGACAAAGATGTATTTCTCTTGCCACAGTCTTAGAACAGTTGACTAAAGGAGGCAATTCCTTCCATAGTTTCCTCAGCTCCCCCTTCTCTCCTGGTCAGAAACCTCCACCACAAAGGTGCAAGTTGCAGACCTTAAGTTCTCCACAGCTCATGAAGGCTGGATCTCTAGGATCGCTGCTCTAAAATCCAGGAAACTTGTTACAAAGCACATGTAGCCAAAGGGGAGCTGGTCAGTACTGTCCAGTATTTTCTTGTTCTTTGGCACCATTGTTAGAGTGAAAAGTCATGACATGAATTTCTTCTTCAATTAAAAAGTTGTAATGCATTTAATAAAATTAGTATCAACAATGTATTCTGAAAATGGATGAAGTATTCTTTCAAGTGCAGACTTATTGTGCAAGACAAAGTGTTGTGCATTAGCTGATTCCTACAAATTCCTTTGGATGATCCTTTGGAACATCCAGTGGGTGAAAATTGGGTGGTCCAAAGATAATGTTTTGGTCTTCATAGTCACTGTCCAAAAAATTTCAAAAATCAGATTTTGGCTAGATCATTGCTTTGCCTAAGATACCAGATACAGAGTTTTCCTGGAGCCCATCATAGCCTGAGCTTATCCTTTCCTAGATTCCTAACCGACTTTGCTTTTGCTCTGTTAGGTTTGATGTGCTGATCATCATCGCAGCTCTGGTGGCCACCATGGCCAATGCCGCCATTCAGTCAGGTCAGTGCCACCTGCCAGGATGGGGTATCTGATTAGTAGTCTTGTTGAACATCCACTGTGAACCAGTAAGATTTAGAGACCAAGTAGTGGGACCATCAGAGAATTATTAATAAAGTTCCAAGCTCTTGAGAAGGATGGTGGCTTTGTTTGTGTTTAGCTGTGCAATATTTTAGAGATTTCATTTGTAGGAGGGCACCACCCAAATACTCACTTGGCCATGTCTCCAAAACTGGGCCTCTGTCTCAGGGCTCACCTTCTGCCTGCATCGGCCTCCTACCAGGTTCCAGCCATGGTAGGAATTTTGCATCCTTCCTGCTCACCACCCCCTTGTCTCTACACTCCTCTGGCTCTGTGTACCCCCAACACCATACCTACTTTTCCTGTTGACAGCAGGTAGGATTAATGGACATGGCATAGCTTCTGAACATTGTGAGATGAATTCTGGGGAAAGAAAGGCTTGTTGCAATGTGTTCTGTACAAACAGATCCACAGTCACTTCTCGAGGATGAAGTCCACACCTGCACACGTGGTACTTTAGCTCTGGGGGCTGGGTGGAGGGAAGGCACTGCTTTTGCACTGCCTGCCTGAGCTTTGACTTGCAGAGATATTTTGGGATTTAAGACGGTACCTACTTTCTCATAGCTCAGAGACATTATCCTGTTATTTTATTTTAATTTGGGGATCCAACCAACCCACGGCCTTGTGCATACTAAGCATGTGCTCCACCACTGAGCTACATCCCCAGCCCCTATTGTCCTATTCTTGAAATGAAGCTTCATGGTTCCCCAGGATCCAGAGAGTCTTGGTCTCATTGAATAAAAGAGGTAAGTCAAAAATCCTGAGAAAATGCAGTATTAAAGGATTATGTTCTTTCTCTAGCAAGAAAATACAATAGTCGGCAGATCCTGGATATTGTCTTGATATTGAGGATACTCCGGCTCCTAAGGGTTATCATCAGCATTGAGAGGTACAGATGAAGTGAGGTGCAATGGCTCTATTTAGGGGCAGCTCCCTGCATTGGCCTTAACTGTGAACCTGGAATGCAGCTCATATGGAGGACCTGGAGTTCTCTGGGGGCAGGGTGGGAGGAGAGAGACGCCAGTGTAGATGGGTAAAGAGTACTAAGATGTCAGCTCCTTGAGGGGATCTGATGGTCACTTTTGACCCTGAACTCTGCCTGCCTGCATGGTAACTGCAGAAGATGGTGGCTAATGCTAACTCTAGTGTGCTACCCATTCCCTTATCAAACCCCACCATCAACCCTTGATATGGGGACTTTCATATCACTAGTTTATAAATGAAGATAATGAAGCCTGAAGATGTTAAGTCCCTCTCCCAGTGGTGCCCAGCTAGAAAGAGTCAGAAATGGTGCGCACCCAGGAGGCTGAACCAAAAGCCTGAATGAACCCCAGCCTTGGTCTTGATGGTTCAGCTTCCTTCCTACATCTGGGGACTGGCTTGCTCCTCTAGAAAGTATGTGGTTGCCCTCCAGGACAGCCTGAAGTCAGGCTTGATTCTGATGAAGGAAAAAGGTGGGGGAGAAAATCAGAGGTGGCTAAGTGGCTTTCCACCCTCAGTATGCATCTCACTAGTGCAGTTTCCTGTAATTCCCTTTCTAATGCTTGTCCAGCCTGCCTTGCTTGGCTTCAGGGGGAAATAGCTAGTTGACTGTAGCTCAGCTTGGTGGTGGGGGGACCAACTCTGACAAACCCTCAGGCCAACTCCTGCCAACATCTAAGCCCAGATGCAGGACTGGGGAGGGTATGTTAAACCCTCAACACTATTGGAATAAGTTTAGCTCCCCACCTTCCCTTCTGCCTTGTGTCAGAAACTATTTTATTCTAGGTTCCGGGTGATAGTGACCACTTTGATCAACATCGGCCCCACAATGCTGACGTTTGGTGGGCTTGTCTTTGTAAGTAGCTGCTCTCCTTTGCTATTTGATGTGAAATCAATAGTGAAGGGCTGATTCCTAGCAACTCTCAGTAAGCCTTCTTTTCTTTTCTTTTCTTTTCTTATAAAGCTTTTTAAACATGAAAAAGGACACTCAAAATGTATTACATGCTTAAGGCATGGGAGTATTAAAAATAGGCCCAGGAGAGGGGGTGGGGGTGGGAGGGAGGTCAAGGGCAGTCCAGAGGGCTGGGCCCTCTGGTGCTGTACTGGTGCTTAGGATTTTCTGAAGCACTGACACCTTCCTACCTTCTTCCTGAAGCTGCTTGTAACTCTTGGCTGGAGTCAGTGACCATTCCTGGGAATATGGTGGTGGCTTCTGCTGAACCCTGGAAACAGGGAAGGTGGCTGTCTGGAGGGAGTTCTTCCTGTCTGTGCTCTCCTTGTCTTGTGCTTTGGGCGCCCCCTGGTACCTAACTGGGTGCCTCCCATCCTAGGTGGTTTACTATACATTTGCTGTCATTGGGATGGAAATGTTCCATGGCAAAGTCCAGTTCTTTGACCCAAATTTCACATCTCCTGATGCCCTGGTGTGTGGGAATCCAGCCTTAAAGGGGTCAGCATTTGCCCGAGACAGGTACTGCAAGAACAACTTCAATGATCTGGCCTCATCCTTTGTCGTGCTGATGGAGCTCACCGTGGTGAACCAGTGGCATGATATCCTTCCAGGGGGAGGGGACTGACAGGGATTGGCCTCTCCCTGGAGTGGCCTGGTGCCTGCTGGCAGTCACGTTTGGGAGGAGGAGGATGCCTCGCCAACTTGCTGAGTTTCTCAAAGGTCTGGTTCCTTAGCCTCCCACTCCTTGCAGGTGGCTTTGCCCTCGTGACTCACCAGGCGGCAAAGCTGTACTTCATCTTGTTCCACATTGTGGTCGTCATCCTCATTGTTAAGTGAGTAACCTCCTGCCACGTGGGAAATCTGGGCCCTTTTTCAGAATGGCCGACCACTGGCACTTTTGATCTCCCTTGTTCCTCAGGTAGGCTGTGTGTGTGTGTCTCCTTGCCCCACTGAAGGCTGAGCCATGGATGGGAGGGGTCTCATTTCTTTTGGCATTTGTGTTCCTCTGGGTGTCCATCAATGTCTTTCACTTCAACATGTAACACACATCTCAGGACCTCACAAGTTGTTTGGGTCAGAAGGAACCCAAGGTCCTGGGTGATCTTCCTGCCCTTTCCCCTGCGAATGAATCACCTCCAACACATCGGCTGTGCCACATCTGCTTCAGCTTATCCAATTGCTGGGGCCCATTGATACCCAAGAGAGTTAGTTCTGTTATTTTTCTGCCCTGGTCCTTAGCACTTCCATGGGTAGAATGGGAACTGGCTTTTGTGGGTTCTAAGAGAATGGGAACATATCCCTGATGAGTTCAATAGGATGGAAATGTGTCCCTTGTTGGATCCTTGTAGGATGGGAATGTGTCCATGGTGGGTCCTGGTAAGGTGAGGACATTCCCAGTGATGGGTCCTAGTGGAATGAGAATGTGCCCCTGGCAAGCTGCTACTAGGCTAGGAATGTGTCCTAGTGGATCCTGGTGGGACAGAGACCTGCTTCCTGGTCTCTGCATTGGTTCCAGTCTTGTCCTTGCCCTTTTCCATGGGAGAGCTCAATATTTGAAAGCTGCTGTGATATCACATCCCTCAAAAACTATCTTTTCAGTTGGAATATTTGACTCTAGCTCTTTGGTTCCTTGTGTGACTAAGTCCCTGTGACCACCATGATTCTCCCCCATAGGGTTCCTGGTGGTCCATGCCCTCTCAGAGCCTGGGTTTCTTAGGGTGAAAGCCTAGCCCAGTACCTTCCTCATCATATTGGTCCTGGTTTGGTCGCCCACTGCCTATGACTGTGATCCAAGAATGCCTCAGGGAATGTCCTGGCAGAGGGTGGGACCAGAGGATCCTGAACATACTACAGAGGAGTGGAGTAGGGGGAGCTGCCCTGAGATGATCAGGGAGAGGTTACTGAGTACTGGCATAGACAGAGGGCAATAACATAAATAGGCAGTGGGGATTCTTCTTCTCTCCTCTGAGGAACCCATGAGCACCATGACAGCCATGGGCTACATCATCATTGTCATCAAGCTAAAGATGATGAAGGGTCCAAGAGTTCATCCACTGACAGAGGACTGGGACCTTGGGTCAGAGACAAAGACAGTTTGTTATTCATGGCCAGAACCCCAGTCCCCAAGGCAGTGTGGCCAGGGCCAGATGGAGCAGGTGGCTAGGAAAGAGGCAGCTCTGATCTTACAGGGCTGCTGGTACCCTGCCCTTCCTCTGGGAGGGGATATGAGATATTTCTTCTCTGGAATGTCAGCGTCTTTACTCTTGGAAGGGGAAGGCTAGGGCTTTAGTTTTGCCTTCCTGGGTCATCCTGGGGAGTCCCTGCCTCTTATTCTTACTTTTTCTCAGTATTTTCATAGCATTCATCTTGGAGGCATTCTTTGTGGCGTATTCATTAGGAAAGAGTGAGATAGAAACTGCCATAGAGAAGAAGATTCAAGAGCTCGGAGTGGGAATCCAAGAGTGAGTAGCCTGTTTCCCTTGGTGACTCTCAGACTTTAAAGTGGTACAAACAGAACATCCTTACCATGTTTAACCTGTCAGTGCTGCCTGGTACCTGGTCTGGTCCTGTAAGCCTGGTCAGTGACCACTGAGCCATAACTGGAAGGCTATGCAAGGGCTTTTCCTAAAGTCCTGACCATGTTCCTGTTCTTTTTTCATGCTTGAAGGGAAGATGTGCAGGACTGGAAGCTCACTGGTAACATCGGCACTGTGGATAGCACCTTTAGTGGGAATGATGGTGACAACAGAGGGAAGGCCTTGAAAGGACTATACTTCAGAATTGCATCAAAAAGTAAGTGGCAATAGAATGCAAAGCTAGAATGGATCTTGCTTCCCTGGGTGCAGATCCAGCTATGGGTAGCTTCCCATTGCTCAAGGTTAAGGAACAGGTTCCCCACTGCCTGCATGCAGGGCTGGTGTCTGAGAATTTCTGCCTCTCCTCTCTCCTGCCCAGCCACCACACCTGCTGCTCCTCCTGTTAACCTTTCAGCTCCTGGTTCCCTGCTGCATCCTGCCATGCTGCTATGGGCCTTTGCAAATGATGCTTCCTTCCCCCGCTCACCCAGGCAGCCCTTTTCAGGGACCTCCCTCCAGGCTTTCCAAGAAGGCCAGGTGCTCTGTGAGGCCCCTGCTCTGCTTTCCCAATAGGGGCATCTTCATCTCTCAGTGACTACTTTGGTCCCAGGCTGTCCTCCTTGCAGATGTGAAAGTGTATATGTGCAGGGCCATGCATGGCTTTTTTGTTCAAAGGTATCTCCAGGGTCTAATTATGTACCTGGGACATAGGAACCTTTAAAAAATCTTTATTTCATTACTTCACTAATTCTCAATGAATTAACAACTTCCTGGTAAACCCAAACCAGCCTGCTTTTGGTTTGGGCTCAGTCTGAGGAATATAGCGCAGATCACAGAAGGAGAGGTGTGAGCACCAGCCCTGTAAGAGGTGGGCTTCCTCCTCATCCCTGTGAGTGGCTGCGGCTCCATGCAGTCTACTCAGCAAGGATGAGTAATCTATCCCTTTATCTATGAGTCCTTCCCCTCAAACACTGTTTGGTTATAGTGCTCGAAGCCTAGTCTTCAACTCAGGGCCATCCTTCAGGAGAGCCTTGGTTTGCCAGGCTGAGGGCTCCCCTGAGCCCCCATACCAACAGATCCAATGTGCCTCTTTCTCCTTCATCCCAGAATATCGGACTGTGGATGCCTTGCTGCAGCGGATGTTTGAGTCTGAAATTGCTCCCAATGATGAAGGCCCTTCCTTGGAAGAGATTCTGAACTTCTCACCCAGTGACATATATCCCAAGAATCCCAATTTTGATAACAGTGCATGATTCTGCAGTTGCAAGAGTCCACAACTGGAAACCAAGAGAAGCTGCATCTTTTTTTTGCATATGCTAGCTGGAGATGACTTTTCCAGTGTGGGCTCCTTTTCTGATCAGATAAGACTGTGGCCTTACTTGTCCTGAGTGGTCAGCTGCATGGTATGGGAAGGCCACTACCATGTGCCTCGCCTAGGGGTTACTCTTAGGTCTGATCCTGAGGGTCCACAACTGGAAACCAAGATAAGCTGCCATCTTTTTCTACATATGCTAGCTGGAGATGACTTTCCCACCCTGGGTTCTGTTTTGTGATTAGCTAAGTCTGTGAATCAGCCATACCTGGCCCAAGTGGGCAGCTGCATGGTATAAGAAGGCCACCAGTGTGTCAACAGTGCTCCACCTGGTGTGGGGGGGTCATTCTTAGGTATGGTCACAGAAGTAAGGATGAGCAAGTTGATGAAGAGATTATGCTGAGCACTTGTCCTAACATGTCAGTGCATGTGTGAAGACTTTCCATTGGGTATATAGAAGCTTTTCATTCATTTTTCTATGATATTTTGCCATTCTATTAAACTTATACTGTGCTACAGTGTTACATAAATTATGGATATTTGAAAAATTACAAAGACATATTCTGGTACAGTAGCTTTTAAATGCAGTGATTTTCAAAATGAAGAAAAATATGAATGTGAAAATATAATTGTCACAATTGCTTCTTTTTGGAGGGTGCAGCAGTATACTCTCAAGGCTTCTTTAATTGAATTAGTCAAGCGCAATTTGGAGTAAGTTGCTCTCTAAGGACACTTTGCCCAGCTGGGAATCTCCCAGTATAGTGATTTGCTCCTTCTTGGAACTTAAAAAGGATTCATTTTATTAATAACTTTTAAAAATTGCTAAAATGCATATAACATGAAATTTTCCATCTTTGCAGTTTCTCGGTATGGAGTACAGTAGTGGTAAGTACACTTGTTAGTCAACTTTCTGTTACTATGACAAAACATCTGAGATAATTGAAGGAGGAGAGGTTTACTGTAGTCCCAGTTTCAGAGGTTTCAGTCAGTCCATAGTGGGTTGGCTCTGTTGCTTTAGGCCTGTGCCGAGGGTGTGCATCATGGCAGAAGCGTGTGGCAGAACAAGCTGCTAACTTCATAACAATTGGGAAGTAAAGAAAGAGATGGGAGGAGGCTGGGTCCTACTGTCCCCTTCCAGAACATGCCCGCAGTGACCTAACTTCCTTCCACTAGGCTCCACCTTAAGGGTTCTACCACATCCTAATGGTGCCCCAGGCTGGAGACCAAGCCTTCCCATGGGCCTTTGGGGCACACTCACTCATAGCATGCACTCACACTGTTGTGCACCCACCTCACTTTCCAGATTCACAACTTTTCCATCTTGCAAAGTGGAAACTCTGTACCTGTTCAACAACTACTTTCATTCCCACCATTGCACATTCTGTCTTTGTGAATTTGATACCTCTGGATGGCAGGTCCATTTCGAGCAGCTACATACCCAGAGTCCTCAGGGCATCCCCTCATTCACCTTGTCACAGGCTTCACTCTAAGGCAAGGGGGTGGGAATCCCCATGACCTGAGTATAGTGAGACCTGAGTGGTGTGCTGTGCCATGTGTCATGTGGCCACTGAAGCAGGCTCATAGGAACTTCTTCAGTCCTGAGGGGCCTTTTGGGCCTTGTGTTGTGGAAGTGAAACAAAGGCTTTGGGCAGAATGGCTGCCCACTGACTATGTCACAGAGGGCCCCCAGAGCCCATTTCCTCATGTGTCAACTTAGGACAATGACCTTCCTCCCAAGACTGTGGGGATGGAGGAAGGATGAGGATAGTGTAATGCTGGCTCCCACTCACAGTCAGTACTGTAGCAGTGTCTGTTGCAAGTCAAGTTGCTCTTCCTGGCTTAAAACCACTGCTGGTGTTGGGCACTGGAGCCCTGGAATCCCACTGTCACCAAGATTGCGAGGAGTGACTCAGTGGAGTCCTACCATCCTTCCAAACTCTCTCATCTCTTTGTATATCTAACAGCTATTGTCATGTAGAGTATTACACAAAATGTATGGAGTTGAAATTTAATTTTAAAATTTGATATATGTAACGGGCATTTCTTTCTTTTTTTCTTTTTTTTTTGTTACTGGGGATCGAACTCAGGACCTTGCACTTGCAAGGCAGGCAGCGGAACCACTGAGCTAAATCCCCGGCCCAGGGCATTTCTTTTTAAATTAGCAGAATGCATCATTATTTAAAGAATTCAATCCAGAGATGCCATCATAAATCAAAAGTTGCTCTTTACTCTTTCTTCTCCTCTCCCTTCTCTTTGCATTCTCCCACTCAGGCTGATACTGACTTTCCAGTGGTCACTGGTGATTTTGTTCATCCTTCTAGAGCTAAATGGATCCGTTTACAGTCACATATATCATGTACATTCATATGTGACATAACGCTATTTTTATCTTATGTGTATCATATACTATATATTGTTGAACAACCTGCTTTTTCTGCTTACCAGTACCTGGTTCATGGTAGTACACACACAGGTATGAGGGCCGAGTATTCCATCCTAGCCATGTTTCATGATTTAAGAATTCAGCGAGTCGTAGACTTATATGCTGTTTCACATGTTCAACATTAAGTCACAATATAGTATGCCCTTTTTCTGCTATGAGCCCCTCAGCAGGAAAGAGTGGTAGAGTTTACTGCTTTCAATGCTTAGAAACTGCAGTTCTCAGAGTGGTTGGAGCCCCGTGACCGACAGGGGGCGCCCCGCCTCAGCCATTGCAAAAGAAGGAGAACTGGAGGCGCTGAGGCGGGATCACCACTTTTCTCCAGCACTTTCTCTGCCGCTCAGTGAACCAATCTCTCCGCGGTACATAGACTCCCCGTTGGGGCAACATCATTATATCTGCCTGGGGGCTGCGAGCCCGACTGGCGTCTTGCCCTTGACAGCAGTGCCCCTCTCTGCCTCGCTTCTCGGCTGCTGGGAAATGGCAGCAGAACGTCAGGAAGCCTCAAGTGTCAGTGCACGTCAGTGGCAGCACAGAAGCGCTCAACCCACTGGAAGGGGAGAAAGAAATCACTCCTGTCTTCCTCAAGCCACAGTGTGGATTCTCTGTTGTCATAATAGCTTAGTGGCCCACTATCTAGATGATCCAGGAATGGGTTGTCTGAAACATTCCTGGATGGAACCAATGGGAATGAAGCCCTGGTCTTGAAGAATGAGGGAAAAGGGAGAACCAGAGTTGGTTCCAGGATCAGCGCAGAGAAAGGTCTGGAGTAGAAGAAGTGTTTTAGGTGTGCTTGGGTACCGTGCCGAACCCCTAAATGTCTAGGAGTGCTCATATCTGAGGGTCCCAGACCACACTTGTGCTTTTCCAACAGGAATGGATTAGGGGGAAATAAATTTTAGAATCACTGCCCTAGCCCACAGATATAATTCAGGTGAGGAGGAGCAGGAGCAGGAAATTCAATTTTCTGAGGAAGCAGCCTTACTCTTAAGTAGAACTTGAATGTGGAGCAGCTGGCAAAAAATGAATGGGAAATGTTTCCGTAGAGAAAGATATTATTAAATATGAACCTAGAACTGAGAGTAGGCAAGGGCTGAGCACGGGATGAGTTGGGTCACTGAGACAGAGGTGAATAAACCCCCTCAGGGAACTTCAGCCTTAGCAGTAGGCTGAACAGGAAGATTCTTGTGTTACATTCATTTCAGGGGCGGTTAAATGCGGAGCATTTCCCCTCATGCTGACAAACTGTGTATGTGTGTAATCCAGACAACTGACTATCACTAAGCGAAAGTCCTTATCTGTACCAGGCATATGTACAAAAATTAAAAACACAACTACTTGGCTGAAGTGCTTGAAGGTTCTCTCCCCCCCCCCCCACTCTGGGGACAATTCATTGCTAGGAAAGCAGACTGTAAAGTTTAATTTAGATAAAGCCCTTGGCATAGGTCATGGGCCAGATAGGCAACAGCAGTGACGACACTGTGGTCAAGGGGTTGGTGTGAATCACATGGGGGAAGTTTTTGAGTGTGATGCATTGAAGAGCCAGTAATAGCAAATGAGCTGGTGGTGACACAGGACATGTCAACAGGGGCTAGAAGCCAAAGCCATGTGGTCCTCTACATCTAAGGGTGATGGGTCCTATAGCTGCTGTTCATGGATGAACACGTTTTATTCTGTTTGATAAAATAGCACCCTTAGCTTCTTTAGTCTTAGTTCTCTTTGAAAACAGCCATTTTCAAAAGGAGAAAGAAATCCCACAAATCTGGCTTTGCTTCCAGATGCTTGGTTGTTTAGATTCTTTGAGTTCAGTGTTGATTTGCCTGATGAGTTCTGACCTTTGATCATTTTCAGCTTCCAAATTGAGTAGGCATGTAATTGATTTCTATAGATTACATTATTTATTTTCAAAATAAACATCTATTTTGGGATTCAGTCTTAGTAATTTATCCCACAGACACATTGGCACTTGCACTCACTTTCTTTTTTTTTTTTGAGAAATCAAAGGCATAGATTTTATTTGCAATGAGGACATAGATGCCTCTGTATGTCAACTAGGTGGCAATTTCCTCAAGCACCCTGTGCTCAGGCCTTCTCACACATCCCAGCTCCCAGTTCTGAGCTTTCTTTAGGTCATATCTGCCGCTGCTATTGACTTGGGCTTTGTGAAGCTCATGGCTCCAAAGCATAGGATGCCACTGAGGAGGGACAGAATGGCAGTGACTATCTCTAGTGGAAACACATAGAAGTCCAGACTCTTTGTCCACAGTAAACTCTAATGGGAAATCAAGGATCCTTTGGCCAGAAATATTATTGGCATAGTTCCAGCTCACAGCCAGAGCCACACAGCTAGAGCTGAGGGAAAAAAGGAGGGCCCAGCTTCTTTAATAGTCACAGGAATTCTGAGTAGGTGGGCTTCAGCCTGCTTACTAGGAAGGCCACTGTGCTGAGAATTAGGGATGCTGGCTGCATAAAATCCACCAACACCATTAGACCTTTTGCATAATCAAGCTCAGTTGCCTGGGTCCACCCCCTGTGGATGCTGGCATCTACTGGCACATCAACCACTGTGCCAGAGTTGTTTTGCCTGACATAATACTGAGCATCCCAAAGGCCAATGAAGGCAATGGGAACAACTTGGTTGTCAAATTCCCACATGCACCAGGATATGCTGCTCACTAGGGCGATACCCAGTACCCAGGCCACAGAACTAAACAGGAAGACAGTCAGGGTGTAGATGTGTTGCTTCACTCCAGGAAAACTGCAGAGGAGGTCGAAGAGGCAGGAAGTCAAGGCAGGAACAGCAATGAGGAAAAAACAGAGCATGAATCATGGTTAGAGAGTGGTAAATATGTAAGTCATATTTAAATGTTCTACATTTATAGTACTGTCCTAAATATTTTACGCAAGAATAAAAGGAGCTTAGCAGCTGTGTGTGGTGGGACACCTGTAATCCTAGCACTCAGGGGACTGGGGAGGGTGGATCTAGAGTTCATGGCAAGCCTGGGAAAAATAGTGATACACAGGTGGCCTGGAGTACATCCTGAGAACCTGTCTCACAGAAATAATGAAAGAGAAAGGGAGAGAGCAAGAAAGGAAGGGAAGAAAGGAAGGATGGAGGTAAGGAAGAAGAGAAAATAGAAGAAAGGAACAGGGAAGGGAAGAAAAGGGAAGGGAGAGGAGGAAAGGTGAGGAGAGAAGGAGAAGGAGAAAAAACCCTAGGGATCCATGATGATGGCAGGAGTACGAGTTTGTAGGAGATTTTGGAAGACAGTGTGGTGGTATCTTTCAAAAATGGAAATATTCATAGGTCTTGTCTATGAATTCTAATCTTTTTTTTTCTGATACCAGGGATCAAACTCGGGATCTTGTGCTTGCAAGTATGAATTCCAATCTTGAGAATTCATACTAAAATAAGAGTTTGTGAAAACATATGCAGTGATGTTCATTTCAGTGCCATTTGCAATAGAGAAAATTGGAAATAACAAAAATGTTTATGGAGGGATGTTCAAATACAATAGAGTGTCACTAAGACTGTAGTGGAATATTACATAGCCAATACCAAGAAAGAGTTAATACATTTGAAATGTAGGAAAAAACAAAAAAATACCTAGAATGAATAAAATCTAAGATCCAAAATGAATAATAAAACATGATATGATATATGTTAAAGAGAGATAATAAATACATAAATATAAAAAATACATGCAGCTTCAAAAGTGACCCTTCTGCTGGGACTGGGGATTTAGCTCAGTGGTTCTGCCACCTGCCTCGAAAGCACAAGGACCCGAGTTCAATCCCCGGTACAAAACAAAACAAAAAGAAAAAAAAGGAGAAACATAACTGGTTTTCTTTATATGTACAAATAGACATGAACATACTGTTTTAAAGATTTAAAAGATGTACAGAAAAGAAGTAATTTTAAGACCAATTTGATCAAGTGGAGATTTTTATTCTTATATACATATATTTCCAAAATTTGTTTTACAATGGTGGGGCTTGAACCCACAACTTCACTCATGCCAGGGGGTGCTCTAACACTTAGATAAACTATCAGTCCTATCTGTAATGCTTTGTAATGAAAAGTATACATACTTTAAAGGCAGAGTGTGAATGTGACCTTGAAGATCTGTATATGTCACAAATCATTAGATCTTTTAATGCATTACTTGCTCAAAATTCTACTTCTAGGTATTGCCTTCTCTTGGGTGCAAATTCAAACAATCCTGATGTATTTTATATGCAGCAAATATCTTCTGTGAAGCAAAGCATACACTTCACATTTAGATTGCGAACTCATTTATTTGACTCCTCTCTTAATTCAAATGCATGGGAGTGTCAGGGATAAAACAAATTTAAGGTCGAAGGGCCACCCCTGGTATTGATTCCCGGAAAGGTGGTGGTAGTGTCTGCCCAAGCATGTGGACAATGTGGGCTCTGCCCATGCAAAATGTTCTAGGAGCCTCCAAAGTCTATCTCCTTCCCATTTAGTCTGCTGTCTCCAACCAAGCCCCATTGAGTCCCAGGCTTCCATGGAATGTGCTTTCTCATTAGAGAGAGGCAGCTGTCTACTGTGAAAGTTGCCTTATGAGACAGGTGTGGAAGTGATGGGCAGTTTTGAGAATTCAACTGTCCAGAGCACTTCCTTGCCAAAGGAGATCTGAGGGAATGGGCCACAGGATCAGGGAGCTTTGAAGGGGAGAGGGAATGAGGAAGGAGAATGCTGTAGTCATCAGGAAAATTTGCTAGCTTGGGTAGATCTGGTCCTGTCTTTGCAATCAGTGGGTTAGTCCTCAAAGGTCAAGTAATAGCACTACATATAATTTATATACACATTTACCAACAGGTGTCAAGGATCATTTTCCACATTTGGAAGATGTAAGGATAAATATTCTTCAGAGAACAGGAAACATTCAACAGAGAGAGAGAGAGAGAGAGAGAGAGAGAGAGAGAGAGAGGAGAGAGAAATGTCCAACCAACAGGAAAAGACCAACAAAAAACGATGAACCACCTACAAGAAAAGAAGTATTGTTAGGTAAAATCTGAGGTAGTAAATAGGGCTTAAAAAATCCTTGGTTCTCATAAAATATTCACTATAGCTTTACCCTGTGTTTTGTATAACACAGGCCTTTGTATCAATGCTGTGTGGATATTAATACATTCAAACCTCAGAGTCTAGTGACAGATGTAAAATTATGATCCCCATGTTACTGCTGAGGAGAAAGAGCACAAAGAGGTTACTGGACATGCAAGTTCAATAAGTGACATAGACATAAAGGGCAATGCAGACTCCAAAGCCCTTACACACAGTGCTTCCTGCCTCTGTCCATACTCGATGGGATTTATTCACACCAAGAGAACCAACAATGGCTGGAGGTGTTGTTCAGTGTAGACCACTTGCGTAGCATGCACAAGGCCCTAGGTCCTATCTGCAGTACCACACAAGAAGAGTGTCAATAAGCAGACAACTCCCATTCAATTGTCTTGCCCGGTAGGTTTGTTCTATTGGGCCTCATGGAGAAAAAGACCTTCACTGTCTTTTTCTAGGATATTGTTTAGAGTTGTTTGGAGTGCTGGTTTGGTATTCATGAAGTTTCTCAGGTGTTCTTTGTCGTGGAAGTATCTTATTTCCCCATCAATCCTGAAAGATAGTTTTGTAGGATACATCAGCCTAGGTTGGAGGTTGTTTTCTTTTAGGGCGTTAAATGCCTAACTCCAGGCTCTCCTTGACTTGAGGGTTTGTGTTGAAAAGCCTGCTGTAATTCTGATGGGCTTTCCTTTGTATGTGATTTGTTTCTTTTCTCTAACTGCTTATAGTATTTTGTTCTTCTGTTGGGTTTCCGGGATCTTGATTATTATATGTCTAGGTGTAGATTTTTTTTTTATCATGGCTAGTTGGAATCCTATATGCCTCACTTATCATCTGTATGTCAAATTCTTTTGCTCTGTTTGGGAAGTTTTCTGTCATTAATTCTGTGAAGAGTGTTTTTTTATGTCATTTATACTTTCTCCTGGATTCCTATCAGTCTTATATTATTCTTCTTTGGGTCATCTAGGAGCTGCTGGATCAATTTCTCCCTTTACTATTTTTAAGAGATCTCTCTTTTCATGGTCAGTGACTGCAATCCTGTCTTCTGTATCTGAAATTCTGTCTTCACATTGGCTCATTCTGCTGCAAATGCTTTCAGTAGAGTTTTTAATCTCCTGGATATTTGTTTGAATCTGTTTCATGGATTCCATTTCTTTCCTATGTTGAGCATTCATGATTTCCATTTCTTTCCTATGCTGGGCATTCATGGCTTCCATCATGGTCCTGAACTCATCTATTTTTTTTTATCTGTTTCTGTTCTAGAGTCTCTAATCATGTCTTTCATTCTGCTCATCATCTCTGTAGTTATCTGGGAAATGATTTCTGTTTTGAATTTTTCTAGAGCCTCATTCGTCTGTTTTGTTACTTCCTGTGCCATCAGTGCAGGGTGCCCAAGTGATTGATTATCAGACTTTTTCACCTTGTTTCCCCCAGAATTTGCCTTTGGTAAGCTGGAAGTCTGGGTTGGCACCTTGCTTAGGTGTCTTTTCATTTCTATTTTTGTTGTTTGTACTGTTTTTGGTTTAATTCCTGGGTTGATATTTCAATATTGCTTATTGTAAGTTTCTTTGTTTCTTGTATTTAGAGCCCTTACAGAACGATTGCTTCTCAGAGATGTCTTCAAGATATAGTTGGCATTTAGGTTTTGAGTCTCTAAGGACTCTGAGGCTGTCTCATTTTCATTATACCAGGAAGGACAACTGATTAGATCAATCACAACACCTTAGCCCAAGTGATACAGTCAGCAGCAACAATAGCATCAAGTACATCTTAGAAAATGACAATTGGTGGTAGTTATTAATCTATCACCTTTGGCCATATGAATTAAATCAAAATTGAGGACCAGCCCAAAATATGTTTATGGTGAATAAACTCTTCAATATAGCAACTTTACCCTTTGGGATGGGGGCTTAGAAGGAGTTGGGGAGGGAGGGATAGGTAGGTACAAGGATAGAGAAAGGTTTGAGGCCAGAGGACACAGGATCACGCAAACTCTAGGGAACTGTTGAAGACAAGAGGAAAAGACAAAACGAAAGAAAGACAAGAGCAGAACAACCTAACAGCAATAGGGAAGCTAGAAACTGTTCACTTTCCTTTAAAACTAATGACAATCGAGAGAAGGAAAAAGAGAGAAGAAAAAAGAAAAAAGAAATCTGAATTAGGACAGTTACATGAACAAAAAGGGAGATGAAGAACAAGATGGGAGAGAGTGAGAGAGGGAAAGAAAAGAAAAAAAAGAAGAAAAAATTAAAAAAAATTTGAAAAGAGAAAAAAATAAAAATAAGAGAAAAAAACTTTGAAAATAAAAAATAAAAATAAAGGGCTTCCTTCAGGGTATGTCTCTGCTGTCACAATAGACAATGCGGGCAGCAGTGTGCAGATCTAAGTCAATTAGTCTCAGCAAGCTAGCAGCAGTTCCTTGAGATTCAGGCTGATTATGGCTGCAAGGCCCAAATTGAGCTCCCTCATGTCCTGCTGGGTTGAACTCTGCAAGGTTCTACTGCAGGTTTCAGCTGCCCTTCCCCTGAAGATAGTCCAGGTTCTGATGGGAGGTGGTTATCCCTCCAACTTACCAACTATGGTGGTCTGGTGTGCCTTTATTGCGGAGATTTTCTTCACTTTTCCAGTGGCCTTCAATTTTCATCAAGGAGCCTCACAGATGCCCTCTTTCTTTCTTTCTTTTTTTTTTTTTTTGGTACCGGAGATCGAACTCAAGTCCTTGCACTTGTGCAGCAGGTGGCAAAACCGCTGAGCTAAATCCCTGGCCCTAGAGATGCCCTCTTTCTGTTGTTCATTTCTGCTCTATCTTCTGGAGCTCAGAACAATGTCCTTTATGACCCCCTGCAGCTCTGCAGTGTGGATCCAATTACTGGCTCGGCACAGCCGCAAGGTCAGGGTGGGGGTGGGGTGCTGCTGGTGCCCGAACAGCTCACCTCCTCAGAGCTGGGCGGCAGGGGGCAGGGGGGGCACTCTGCTCCTGGGCGCTCAGGGGTGTGCAACCTGTACT